TTTGGTCTTGAAAGATAGATCGCTTATAATAAACCATTATTATTGACTTGAAAGACAGTCGCTTGATAAAACTTATTGTTCGTATCATCATCTTTGAATTTCTAAATAATATACAAAACTTATTGAAGTTATTGGACGTCATTCTAGCTCGTCACAACAAGAACACACGTTACCTACCTTTAGTAATAAATCTTAATCTCTCCCATTATAAAACTTAACCTTTTCGCTCTTATCTATATAAAACACGTGATTGATACATCAAGAACTTAACATTAATAAAAATAGTAACAATATAACTTGTAAATTAATCAGGTAAAGATAAAAGCATACTTTTAAATATTATGATGATTAGCATTTATATAATAATACAAATAATAAAAGATAAATTTTTAATTCTCTTGAATTTTTAATCTTGTTAACAGCTTTAATTAATTATAAAATGAGTAATTAATAAACTTTAATATATTTAATTTAATATTAATTTGCTTTAATTGCTTTTTATAAGAATTTTCTTTAATGCATTTTTTTTAATTATAACAAAATTTCAAAAGTTCTCAATCTTTAAACAATTATTGAATGGAAAAGTTATTTGTATTTATGAAAAGTGAAATTATATATGAAATTATGTATTTGTACACAAATAATAATTTTATTTTTAGGATATCAAATATAATCTATTTCTAGTTATTTGTAATTTACTAAAATATTTTAAATATTTTGAATTATTTCTTTTATTTTATAATTAAACTTATACTTCTAAACATATTATTATTTTCTTTGTTCATTTCACTTAAATTATGTTGAATCATTTTACTTTATAATTAAAATTATACTTTTAGACATATTATTATTTTCTTTGTTTATTTTACTTAAATTATTTAAAATTATACTTTTAGACATATTATTATTTTCTTTGTTTATTTTACTTAAATTATTTAAAATTATATTATTAGACACACTATTGGTTTTTCACTTAAATTATTTTTTTATTTTTTTATTCATTTGATAATTAAAGTTAATAATTATTGCAAAACTTATAAAAATGATTATAATATAACTTATATGTGATTGTTATGAATTATATAAACATGTAATTCCAAGTCAAGTAATTTGAACCAGTTTTTAAACTGATTCAAATCAATCCATTTTGAATTATATATAGAAGTACCAATAACAAAAATGAGAAATATTAATAACAATTCTTTATTTATAATTCAATAATAATAAAATTATATAATATGATTATTCAATAATATTTTAATATGAAATATTTAATAAGATATATAATTGAATTTTTCTATAATTATAATTACTTTATTATTTATATATAAATATAATAAAAAAATCTCTTTATAATTATTCTCTTTTTATAATCATCCAATTTTGCTTTTCTGAAAATGGTAATTATAAAGAGATTTGACTATAATAATAACAATCATGTTATAATATATCTTAGCTAGATTTCAAGTAGAATTTTCTTAAATTTAGATTTAATAACTTGTTTTTTATTTGAAAGTATTATTAAGTAAATATTGAGTTTTTACTTTGTTTGAATTTACATTACTACTAGATGTAAATTCTGGTTAAGATTCGCTTCATGTATATTACTAAAGTTGATATAATAAAGAATTATTAATATCCTTTATAATTGAAGTACCTAGTAATTTAGTTATAAAACCTTCAGTTATTTTATTATCTCCCACTCGACTTGAATCACATGAATTAACATTCTTTTTATTATTGTTATGACTTTGCTATTGCTGTCTCGGATAAAAGACATCAAAGTAACACAATTATGTATATCAAAAGCGACATCATCAAATAGCCAACCAATAGAAAGGCACCATCATTATTTTTGCAGCCAAATGTGCTGTTTGATGGTTTCCTTTGGCCGTCAAGCGGCTCTTGTTTTACACAAAAAACCCTTTTTTTGGAAATTTTGCCTTGGATTCGTTCGTGAACCTTCGATTCGTTTAAGTAACTTCTAAAATACCCTTTTGGAAAATGGGTGAGTAATTTTTCTTTAACTCTTGATCGGGTCTTTTTTTTATTTTTACGGATTTCTTTTGATTTTTAATATGTACGATTCGATCTAAAAGCGGCCAAAAGGAAAGGGACAAAAATGTCCTTGACAGACTTCTTGGCCGATCAGTGTATGTAGACACTAGGTGCTTGGTGCTCCTTTACTCTTTTCTAGTGATATTTATCAGTGGTAATCTGGAAATCTTCAAATATGTTTCGGGTATCAATCAGCAACGGGCTCTTGGGCTGATGAAATGGAAGATCTGCCCTCTGCGCGTGAGTTTTTCTTTGTTTGGCTTAAATTATATTCATTCAGCACTTAAAACTTTATTTATTCTTTCGATAGCCGCTGCCGCCTATTCAGGTACTCATTTAAATAATGTTTTTATCAAAAAAGCAATCAATATTTGTTCAAATAATCATTTGTCATGCTCTTGAATTTAGGGGAACATGAAGGTGGCCATGGCGGCGGTTTTGGTGATCGTAGTAGGGGAGGATTTAGCCGAAGCTATTCCAGAGGTAGTCAAATCAATTGAATTATTATTTTTATTATAATTATCGATTTAATTAATTAGAAACTATTATAGATTCTCGCTACGAAGGCCGTGACTCACCACGTGATTCTAGGTTTTCTGGTCGTACTGAGCGTATTCCACAACCACTTCCTACATCTCCTCCGTTCACTGCGCATCTTGGCAATCTTCCTTTTGATTTAACTGAAAATGACGTTGAAGATTTTTTTCAAGATTCAAAGGTTTACAAGACGAATTATTTTCGTCTTAAAATTATATCAAAATTGAAATACTAATCTTGTTATTTCCAATAGATTGCCAATATAAGAATTCTTCGCGATAGGGATGACAAACCTAAGGGATTTGGATATGTTGAATTTGAAGATTTAGTTTCTCTTAAAAAAGCATTAGACTTAACTGGACAGGTAAGGAATTAAAGGAACTCGAATTTTTTTAGCATCCGTAATTTACGTTTTAATCTTTTTCCACTTATATCTTATTTCTGTAAAAATATAGCCCCTTCGTAACCGGCCTATAAGAATCAGTGTAGCTGAGCCACGTAAATAAAAATTCTCCATTATTAATTTATATATTTGTATTATCTATATTTATATGATAATAATATGAAACCAGCACGGGAGCATCCTCAAGAAGATCGAACAGCAGGTGAGTGGCGTCGAGCTCCTCGAGAATTGTCTTCACCATCCCCTAGAAGTGACCGCTTCGGTAGCGATAAATATGGTCACCGTGAAGAACGGTGGGGTGCACGTAATGAACCACGTGAACCTCGTGAATCACGCGAACGAAATATTCGTAATGACGACCGTAGTCCTCGTGGTGAGCGTGTTGAAATTAGCCCTCGTGGTGATCTTTCTGAACGTGGAGGATTTCGTGATCGTGGCGAGCGTAGTACGGAAAGAACGGATCGCAGTAGAAGCGATACAGAATGGAGAGGCGGCGCCTTTAGCAGTAGATCAAGTAGTTTTCGTGATCGTCGATCTGAAGAACGATTCGGTATATACACTACTTATCATATTAATTAATGATAGATAATTCGGTAAAATACAAAATACTCTTCTATTTCTAGCACCAGCAAATATTTCACCACCTTCTTCACCTCACCGTAAAAAACTCGATTTGAAACCTCGAACTACTACTCCCTCTACAGTCAGCGAGACTACTACGACGTTGCCTGCACAACCGCCTCAATCACCTGAAAATCATTCAGTTTCAGCATCTCGAACCAATAAACCAAATCCTTTTGGAGAAGCTAAGCCTATAGATACAAATGAGTCACTAAGGCGTATTGAGGAACGAAGAAAACAAAAAGAGAGAGAACGAGAAGAAAAAGCAAAGGAATTAGCAGAAAAAGCAAAGGAATTAGCAGAAAAAGAAATTGCAGAAAAAGAAATTCCAGCAAAAGATAAAGACGAAGAAGATTCCGAGCCAAAAAAGATAATTGTTGCCAAAGAGAATGGCGACGCTTAGACGTACTTTTAAATCATACAGGTAAATATAAATACATACATACATAAATTATATACATACCTGGTCTGGACGCGAAAAACATGATAATAATCCAAAACAACTATTAATATTTAACAGCATTAGTTTTTTTGTTATTATAATACCTATGTAATACTTAGTGTTGGAAAATAATACTTTTAGTAATTAGAGTTAATGGGAAATCACCATTCTTCAAGATATACATCAACAATTATTCTAATGTTAATAAACTCAACACAAAAAAAAAGCGATATTAATCTGGAATATTAATTTAATTTATTATTTGATTTTCTTAAAAAGAAAAATATTTCACTTAATAAATTGTATAGGTGAACATTTTAATTAACGCTAATTAATTGAATACAATGAATGGTTCATTGATTGCTTTGATAAACATTGAAAACATTTGTTTGAACTTAATTAGCAGAAAAAATGCCTCGTGCGGAGTGGAATGGTGAAGGTAACAAGTATTCTATCATAATGCCTTTTTACTAATTTAATTAATATTTTCCTTGTTTCCTTTAGTTATTGCGGAAAGTGACATATATGAGACAGTGGAAGGAAATGTTTATGTAGGCTATTATTGTTATTATTTATTTTTATTCCTACTATTAATATGGGATATGTTATTTTTATTTAGTTTCCGCCAGAAAGTATTAAACGGGAATACTTTGTAGAAAGCCCTCACACTACCACTTGTTCTTGGAAAGGGGAAGCTTCATATTATACACTTTCGGTTAATGGTATTTTTTATAATCATTTCTTGCAAACAATATTAAAGAAACAATACAATTCAATTAATAAATTATTTTTCAAGGTAAAACTAACACTAACGCTGCATGGTAAGTGTTATTATTATTATTATAGATGATTAAACTCGCATTTATCAATTTCTAACGTATAAATTAATCAATAGGTATTATCCCAATCCAAAACCTGCTGCTCAAAATATTACAGGATACATTGCCTTTTGGCGTGGTGTTAAAGTTAAATGAAACAATTTCGCAATTTTATAAATACACCTTTTATGTTCAGTTATTTATTGTCTTCTTACTGTTAACCAGATTTTGGTTATATTCATCCAGAAAGTGAAATCCATAAAAAAAGTCAGATATATATGACAATGCCATATTACTTTGTTTAGTAATTACAAGTCTCCGATGATTAATTATCGTCTTGAAATTGGTAAAGCTGAATTTTTTATGTATGAATGCTACTTGCCTGTCGAAAAACCTTTGTCATTCATGATAAATACCCCACGGGTGGAAAATAGACCCAGGGAAAAAATAATATATACAAAATTACAAATGGAAAAAAACAAAATGAATATCGGGTCCAAGCTTATATATATATATAAAAAGAGTAAATGCTATTGCAGCAAACCATTCACTCGGCTGCTAAGCATTTCGTTTAGAAACCATGTGATGTTAACAGGTATCAAAAAAAGGTTTGAAATAAGGAAAAGTATGGTAATCGTCCATATGTACTGATAAATTAACTCCGAAGCCTTTAAAATATAACCTTTCACATTAATAAGATAAGCAATTAATAATATTATTAATTCGTTATTTCCCTATCCATTTCTTTGTTGATCTTGTCTGGTAGCTATTTCATAACTATTTCTCCGAGAATCGTTTTGTTCTCCTGCCAATAAATAAGTATCCGATGACTCTGACAATACAGATTGTCGTTCAAAGTAACGATCCACCGAGGAATAAGATGGTGGTGGAAGAGTGATATCAGCCAATGAAATGTCCAAATTAGCTTCTTGTGGAACTCCTCTCATGAAACCTCCATCTCCAGAATGTGTATATGAAATACGTGAAGCTATATCTTCTGAAGGGCGTCCTCTTGAGCTTGATTCAAGAAGAACTGATCCCCTTTCCGATCCATAAGCTGGCGGTGGTGCCAAAGTTCCCAATGTAGGAGCAAGTCCCCATTTTTTCACGTTTGCTTCGATAAATACAAATCCTAGCTGGCCAAAATTAACGTGAACACAACATGGCCCATTTGCACCGACCGTTGGAAATAAATTCATTTTCATTCCTGTGAATGCGTCATCTAGTTTTTTTCCATTACGAGTGAAAAAGATGGTGCCTGTTCGTGGACGATATCCCACTCCTACGACATCTCCTTGTTGAAATTGTGGTCCATATGTCTTTCCATTGAACGGTGAATTATGATATTTTAATCCAGTATCGGAGAAATATGCTACTGAATGACGATTCCATCCTAGAAAATTACAAATATATGTAATTTAATATTCTTTATATAATACTAAAGCTAATTTATCAAATAAAATAATTAAAAGTACCTGGTAAGCGAAATAGGGGATATGGTTTGGTTGTCAATCCAACTGTAACAGTGGTTGATGCCGGTTTTTCATACATTTTTGCTTCCCAATAATAAACTTCTTGTTGTTTTGGTAATGGTAAATTGGTCTGTACACAACATTCTCCATCATAAAATGCAATTTCCGTGCGGCATTCGACAAAACAATTAGTGTGATGTAGATCAGGTTCAAATTCCCACGCAGAAACACCCTTTTCCTGGATAGAGAGAAATTGTGATAGCGTAATGTCCGTTGGGATACTATCAGGTGGATACGCTTCTTGGAATACTATTCAATATTTACAAAGCAATTAGATATAAAATATCAAACAATTTGAATAATTTTCACTAATTATCTTACATCGAGCACGTTCATAGTTCTGTCGAGCAGCCTCGCCAAGAGTCTCGACAAGACTTGCTTCAGCTCTAGCAATTTCCGGATCATTAACATCGGGAATTCTGTTTTTGTCAACAGCAGCCAATCGCCGGCGGAAACATGCCCATACTATCACTATTAATACTATAAGAAACGCACTAAGAGATCCAGCAAGAACAATGCTCCAAGCATTGGATTTTTCGTCGTCTTTAGTAAAAAAATCATCATTTGCTTTAACTAAACATGTAAACTGCCAAGATACAATTGCTGTCAAGCCTATAAAAATATGCGACCAATTTATGCTCAAGAGTTTTTGTGGCAATATGCCTTTTATTCTTCGAGGTCGAAGCATTTTATCTTATTCAGAGTATTCCAGGAAAAAAATTCTTTACACACGAAGCTTGTGCAGAGCGCTAAAAGCACTTAACACAGTGAGATTTGTAGAGAAGAGACAATAGTTCAATTCTGTTCTGGCCTGCTCTGTTCCGAATATTTTAATGATTTAATTGGGTAGATCATTCTGAACAGAAAATCTGTCATTCAGAAATCTGAATAGCGATAAGTGCTTGTACGCCAATCATTTTTATAAAAGGAAAATTATAACCCCGATTAATCATTAAGGGCGCAGAATTATTGAAATTTATCAATGTCGATATAATTCTTTACCAGAGTTACAAATCAAGTTCAGAGAGCATACAAATGCAGTACTATAAGTATTTATTTTAGTTATGAGATTTGATAAATTCATCCTTGCTAAAAAGAATCATTATCTAGATAATTAATTATCATACATAAAGTATTACTGTTATTATATAAAAGCACATTACCTACCTATACAACACATCCGATGTCAATTTTTTCTAACAATAAATTTATACTAGAGATATATTCATCAACTTGCTCTATAGAAACATGATAATTTGGCCAAATTACTTGTTTGAAGATTACTGGATTTTGTTGTTGAACTTTTCTTTCCATTTGCAATAGTCCATTCAATAAAAGCCAAACAGCATCAGGAGACTTTTTAATCAACTCGACAAATAATTCGTGCGAAGCACTTTTAAGCTCTGGATGAACTTTATCACTCAAAAAGATAACCATTGTGTCCATTATTTGGAATAGTGCCATATCTGCCAATAACACTCGCTTAATTACCGTTCTCATGGTGATTATAATGGATAATTTGAATCGATGAGACTTTGAATATGTTGAATAGGATATTGCAGATTCTTTGTCCATTAGAAGTTGTTGGTTCAATATATGCTGAAATAAAGGCCAAGCGTCGATTACTACTCGATTCGAAATGAAATCACCACAAGATATTGAAATTTTTTCGATTAATTCAACAGCTGCTAATATCACATAATGTTCTTTGTCTTTCATACGAGTAATGATTGAAGGCCATATTTGATGAATGAGAGGATATAATTGTTCCATGTTTGATTCGAGTTTAGGCAATGAAATTCGAATTAAATCAAGTATTAATCTACGGAGTTGCGGAGATGATGCAGTAAGAAAATGCAAAAGTTTATTAATAATATTTAGGCAAATTGTTTGTGCCATTGAAAGCTTATTATTATTGTCTTTATTAGTATCGGTAGTGCTCTCAATACTTTGAATATTCTCACTATCCATAAAATAATTTTCGATTTTATCCGACTTTGCAGTTACAGCCGTCTCATCATTCCCTATTGTTGATCGGACTTCATTTTCTTTTTTGGAATAATTAGCAACAAATTCACTGATTTCCCGAGAAATTCCAACTATGTCGTCATCATAATGGAAATTTTTTATTGTGCTTGTTGATGATTCTACCGTTATGTTATTATCAGCAATATTATTAATCGATTTTTGCTTCTCATCAAATTCATCATTTTCTTCATTGTAATCGTTTGCGATAACTTTGACTAACACATGAAGAACATTGGCCAACTGACTCAACAAAAATTCATCCATATGATATTGATCTAAAGCATGAAAAATTTCTTCAATAGAATCATTAAGGAATGGTAAAATAGTTGATCCGACGACATTAATCATCGCAATCAGAACTTTAGTAGTTTCCGGATAGAATGTGATTTGATTCAGCTTTCGAGATATAACATTAATAAGATAATCAACGTTTTCCAATACCAAATTTTTAGAAGAATTGTAGCCACAATTAATTGCAATATGGTATAAAGCAATTCGGGCAATCTCATGAACCATAATATGGCTATTCTCTTTGTTATATTTTTCCAGAATCGGATAAAGTGCGTAAATAAGTTCAACTCGGAATTTCTTTTGTAAAATGTTTGAAACATTTGCAATCCCCTCTAGAATTAAACAATTTGTAATAAGAATCTGAATATTTTCTTTGTATTGCAGTTTCTTGTCCAGTTGCTGATCAGTACTGATAGAGAAATTCGGTTCGATGGTTGTGTTTAAGATTATACCGACAAGGTTTTTGTCTTCTTTTTCTTTTGTTAAATCCAGTTCAGTGTATTCTCTTAAAAGAAATTTGACTATTCTTTGTACCTCTTCCAAAGAATTTGCGGATTTAGAATTGGAAATATTTATTTGTTTAACTATCGATGAAGAGAACTGCGGCGATATTGTTGAATCAATCTTGATACTTGATGATGCACCAATCAATAATTCATTAACAATGAAAATACATTGTGGACAAAGTTGAACATCCTTTGAATTTTGAAAATAAAAAAAGAAATGGTTGATCAAGAAGCTTAAATTCCCAAAATAACCAAAATGTCTCAACATATTTCGCATGGCCAATATGACGCGTTCCTCTCGAATATGTCTGAACATAGGATGGGGAAAAGATGGCAATTTTTGTTGTCTTTTCGATGGATCAATATTATCGTAATTACCAGTGTCATCAATTTTATTTTCTATAATTTGAATATCTGTCAAATCATATTCCAATGCCTTAATCAGTCCATGGGAAACACGTTGCAACGAAGTATTGAATACAGTTTGTACGTTCAAACCAAGAATTGATAGAAAACCAGTAACCAAAGCAATTACGTTGAACTTTGCGTTTTCATCAATTCCCATAACATATTGTGGTAATAAATTAAGCCAATTATCAAAACTTTCTTTCATAATTGGCACAAATATTTCGTTGAAACTATGACTTTTTCGTAAAGATTCCAAATATTGTAGTGACGAGTTCGACACTTGTTCATATTCATCGGTTAAATATAGAACCAAAGTTTCTATCAAGATTGGCAAACAATTATCCAAGGATTCTGAGCATTGACAAATTATCAAATTAGAGAAATTCACAAATGCTAATCGTACTTGCCATGATGGATGATTTCTTATGGTAAATATTTGGCAAAGTAAAATATTGATCTGTGATTTTGTAGCTCTAAGCCATGATTTGTTTCGTAAAACTTCTACTGCTGCCGAAGAAATAGTATTGTTACTGTTTTCATCAAAAATATCCTTTGATGTCTGATTGACTTTTGTTGATTTTTTGGCATTCATTCCAGTGGTTTCAATGAATTCTTCTACCAATTCATTCAAAGTTCTATGTCGTGTCATAATATAAGAACTTACTTCATCATTCATCACACGACAAATAATTTCTCCCAAGGCTTCAATTGATCTTACGAGTAAACGATGATTTTCTTTTTGATCACGAATTATAGTTTTTCCCAATGTGCTTACAACTCCAGGTAATATAGCAGCCAAAACATTTGTATCATCAAGGCATTGCACCAGTCTTTCAAGAGCGTCAACTGCTGAAATTCTTAATTCGAGCAAACGTTCTTTGAAAATAATATCTAGTAACACATATACACAACGTCCAATAGCAGCGCGATGAGATGGTTCCAAAAGCTCTTTAATCAATTCAGCTCTTAAGATGACGTTATTACTAGAGTCTTGATTATCTTTTTCTCTGCCCAATAAAGCCAAAATACATTTAATTGCTAGTAGATTTGTCTCTTCAGATATCAGAGACACCAAATAAGACTTATTAGATGACGATTCCGATGATGTCCCCATAATACTCGTTAACATGATAAAAATTTGTTTAAATAGTTCGGGTTTCATATAACTGGTCCAAGAAGTCTCCAGCAAGAACAAAAGACAAGTTAAAAACTTTTCAGTGAATTTGTCGCTCCTTGGTAATTCAGCACTTTGAAACACATGTGCCAATGGAAGGAAAATGTACTCGACTAGTGAGACATTTAAAAAGCGTGAGGGTGCGGGGAGAGAGTAAAGCGTTTGAATGAGTTCATCTAGGGTTTGCAAGACTTGTTGCGAGTTTACGCGTGTCAAAGGCGTGGATTTCAGAAGTGAGACGCATGTTGGCCTAAGCTAATTAATATTCAATCAGTCAACAGCAATAAGTGTAACTGATAGTTGGTTAGTTTTAGAAAATGAGGAAGTAGTATAGTTCTCGATTTCACCTGCATAAAGGCGAGTTCTCGTTGTTGGTCTAAATCATCAAAAGTTTTGAAGGTAGTCATTTTGAAAAAATCTGCACAACAAAATAATGTTCAGTTAATAGCAATGTAAATAATGTGCACACATAATAATGTGAAGAAGTTTTATTTATTTGACATTATATCTGTTTATAAAGTACGTATTTGAATTCGTATAATTTTTAAGCCAAATCTTAGAATAGATCATAGTATATTGCGTTCAATACAGGACCACCAATGCTTTGTGCAGTTGAACACAAATCTTCAAATATCCGCGTATTTTTTTGAAGCCACGTGTCCAAACCTTTAATAGCAAATTTTGCATAATTCTCATGAGGGGAAATTTTGATTTGAGTCTCATTAGTAGTGGAGAGAAAATGGATTCCAAATTGATATTCGCATTTACGATAACTTAAATTCTTTAGAAAGATAATAGCTTTTGGCTGGAAAAATAAAGATTAGTAGTATCATGTTTTTTTAATAAAACCAACATCCTGGAGGCGATTGATAATAACTTACCTTGAAGATGGCTTCCTGAGAAAATATGTTTATTTCGATAAGTATTAATTGTTCGCTAGCATCAGTTACCATTATTGCTTGCACTTGCATTTCTTTACCGTTAGCTTGTACCCTTAATTTAGATTCCCAAACCACTAAAAATAAACTTGATTAATGCAATTTTAAAGAATCATATTGCAGGTAAATTCAATTTTTACCTAATATGCAAACAACGAGATCAAATTCATCATGTTTCTGTGCTTTCCAAAGCTCACTACAAGGAGTAATGCTTCTCTGTTTATATCTCGATGCTTCTAGTTTTTCCGGATCCAATGCTACTTCCTTAACCGATGTTGAGTGTCCCATTGAATTCAATCGGATAGGGGTTTCGAGATACAGCGGATATCTTTGGGAATTTGGAGTAGTAACATTATATATCTGCAATAAATAAGTAATTGAGTAAAAAATAGTGATGAGAATATTAAAAACGTGATATTTACCAAATATCGTCGGCCCTCCTGAATCCTATTAGACGTATAATCATCAGGTCTCCATATCGTCAAAGTTGCTGATCTCCCATCAGACTTCGAGAAAATTGGAGGATCGCAAATGCTCACTTTAAAGAAATGCACCACGTTACGATGAAAACCTTTTTCCTGTAAAATGGAATTCTAAATTATTATTTTTCGAATTTCTAAAGTTTATATATTATTAAATATGAATTGTACTTTAAGCTTCTCTAAAATCCAGTTTTTCATCTCTTCAGATTTTTCTTGCTCCTTTGATAAGATGAAAGCTTGAAGGGATTGAGATTGTCGAGCGCTTAAATTATTCCAAATTCTAAAAGGTTCCGATTCTTCTTGTAACAATTCATAAATTTCTGCCGTCGATAGGTTTTCTTCGATGTCTGACCATGAAATGTAGATCAATATAAAAGATAAAACAATGCAAAAACCCTAAAAAGACGCATTTCGTATACTTTTAAGATTTATGGTGGTATGAATTTTTGTTATACTATTTAATTTTTGATATTCAGAAATCAAAAACGGAATTTCTTTATCAATTTTTTCCTTTGTGATGTTAAATTGTATGATAAATAAAGCTTTAATCAATTATTTGAAAGTTAATTAATTTAATTATATAAAAACTTCATTACCTCATACTTTCTTATTTCTAACTCCTCTTCAGCCTCAGAGCGTATAATGGCGGGTTTATTATCTTTGAAAGTTTCTCGAAACAACATTGGATATTTGCGAAGAATAATGACATCAAGAACAGGAATGAATCCCCCATCAGGAGAAAGAGAGCGTAGAGACATTCGTGGTTTTTTATTACTGTAGCCCAATTTTGCGTCCCATGTCGCGAGTCTAGTAGAATTAGCCGATAATATGAGATGCGTAGAATCATCAACTTCAAGGGCTGGCTTTGCATCTTCACCTCCTTTAAGCTAAAGAAATAATTGAATAAAAAATATAAAAGTTCAATTTTTACGAGTCTTATGATTATGATAATTACTTTGGCACCACATATTTCTAATTTGCAGCCAATACGCAATTTTTTGGAATTGATAGCCCGTTGTAATGGTGGGTCGATGGAAGCGCGGATCTTGTACCACGAATCCGTTAAGACAAGTCCATTTTTTACCACACTATTTGTTTGGTTCTTTATCGCTTCTTGTAAAATAAAAATGAATGACCATTTGCTTGCAACCAAATCACATCATACTTTTTGAATTTATCTACCAGGTGGCATTTGTGAGGATATTGTTGAGGATACAACTTCATAAATATCAGATACACATAAAATCATTGGCCAGGAAGGAGAACCATCTTTTTCGATTATTAATTTCAAAGCAGATCTATGTGCACAATTGATTTCTCTCTCGTATCTTTAATATATGGTATAGAATTTTCAGTAATGTATTCAGAAAAAATTGAATTGTTATTATTACCTGTATCGTAAGTGTTCAATAACTTTAGTCGGACACCACCAATCTTGAAACATTGCAGGGAATGATCGAATCATACTTGCGATTTTCCATAAAATCCATCCATAATGATTTTCTACCCATGTTTCATCAATTAATTTAGGATCTGCTCCATATTGAATTAATTCATCTCTTGCTTCTTTAAATCCCCAGGTAGACTCATTATTTTCCGATTTTTGAAAACGATAAGTAATGGCATTCGCAGGAGTCATATAAATTATTTCTGATTTTCTATCGTTAACAGAAAGAAATAGCTTAACAATTCATCATTATTTCTGTATTAAAATTCAACTCTTTGCTTACATCCCAAACTTTAATAAAGTAGATGCTGCATAGCTTAACGGAGGTTGAGTAACAATTTCTCGTAATCTCACTCGAGAACCAGGTGCTGCAAATTTTAATCATAACAATGAGATAATACATCTAATAGAAATAATGTAAATATTAACTCACACTTCAAATTAAAAAAAATCTGCTTTTCACTGTGAGACTTGTTATTATTTATTGGCTCGGGGGTTGGCGTATGTTGAACTCGATTTTGTAGAATAGAATATAAATTCTTGCGTAGATGTAAAGAAGTTTTATGAATATTTTTATTGCTTTGCAATGGAGTAAGAAGACTCTCAATCTTTATTTGGTGTGGTGTAGTAATGGATTTTTTTGAGTGACTGGCTGATGGAGTTTGTAATTGTTTAACTCGTGATTCAATAGGAGTTTTGATTGGCGTATTGAGCACTAACGGTCTAGTAGCAAATTTCTTAATATTTCTGGTCTTTGACGAATCAAAAATTGTATTTGAAGCTTTACTTAACATTTCATTTAAGTCTAGAGTATCAAGCTTTCCTATATAATAGAAAGTTTGAATAGATTAGAAAAATCTACCACAAAATCATAAAGATGATTGCTAAATATCTTTAATGTATCAGATGAGTACCATCAAGTTTCTCATTATTAAAAAATTCTGATACTCCAAGTTGCGATCTTGCTTTTGCGAGCTGTGCTTCGGAAATTTCCTTTGTAGGTTTTCCGGTTGCTGAGCAAAAACCGCCTAATTTTGTAGGATTACTCCAGAAAAGAGATTCAGAATCCGCCAGCTGATCTTTAATAATATTTTCAGCTTGCTTTTCTTTGGCGTTACGACTATTTGATTCTTGTAGAATTCTATTAGAATTACTTGAAAATATTGATTCTGCATATGCTCTTTGAACGTCCGAAACTTTCTTTGCAGGTTTTCCGCTTGCTGTGGAGAAACCACCGAATTTTGAAGATTTTGCAGGCGTATTGAAAAATAGCATTCCTTTATCTGCCAACTGAGCTTCATAAATATTTTTTTCTTGCTTTTCATTGACCTTAGAGCTGTTAGATTCTTGAATTCTGTCAGAACTATTCGTAAATACTGATTCTGAATTAGTTAACTGAGCATCAGAAACTTGTTTTATAGGTTTTTCGTTGCCTATAGATAAATCACTTAATAATTGTGACGGGCCATTAGTTTCTTGCACCATTTTATGAAAATTAGATGATGATGCTCGAATTATAGAAGGTGAGGAAGGTGTTATGTCTTCGCGACAATTTTCGGCGAAGTTATCTGAAAAATCGAAGAGAGAACGAAATAGCTGAGAATCAATACGAGATGGTTTCCTAATTGATTTTCCCTTGCCAGTAGAGAACCCAGATAGATTTAAATCATCATTATTAGTTTCAGAATTGCTTTTTACTATATTGTTGTTACAATTCTCAGAATCAGGCTCTCCTGAAAGTTCTTTTGTCGAATTACAGATCACATTGTTGACATTGTAATCCTCGTAATTGAGCTCTTCTGGTAGAACTTTTGCCGCTTGATATTGATTATCTAGTTCTTCATTAGGAAAGATGCAAGAGAAAGGTATAATTAGCCAAACTTAAGTCCTTGTAAACTGAATCTTTTTTGTATTGTTTCACTATTTGAAAATAATAAATTATTACGCTCGCCTCCAATCGAAATTTCCTTAGAAATGTGAAAATAACATTGTTTTTTTGGTGAATTGTTCTCTGTTAGAATATTAGCACTTTCATTGACGTGTTCATGCTTTCTTTTAGTGGGAGAAACATTAAAGTAGGTATCCGAGGCCGACATGAGTAAAATGCAAGTTCAGTCGCGACACGATAAAAATGAAAATCGTTGCAGCATGTCGATCATTCCCAATGTCTAAAGAGTACCCTAGCCATGACGAAAAAAAGTGATCAAATCACGTGGTAACCAATAAGAATCGTGAATTTTTTGATCTGCTGGTGACACAAACCAATAAAAATGCGTAAATTTTTGATCAGCCCGGCAAAACAAATCCGACACAAGAAAATGAAAAGTAAAAATACGGGAAACAGATGCCAGACCTACCCCTAACCTAGTACTCATGTCTAAATCCGTGACATGTTACTATTATTAAAGATTTGTTTTGCCGGGCTGACGGACTGGTTATCGGATGGACCAGGCTCCAGAATATCCTTTTTATTCTTTTTGGACTAAAAAATTTGATGAAAAACGTGTAGTATATATTAGGTAAGTTTCACATGAAACCTACTCGGGCAATTAAACTATACCTTTGCGAAAGGTTAGTTGTTGGGCTTTCTTTTTTTTTGGACTATGGACGTTCTCTTTGGCTCGCCTGTCGTACTTCATCATAGTTCTGAGACAATTGAAATAACTGTTCACAAAGAAAAAAAAATATCTTTCCTTGAACATATAACAAAAACATGCCCCTCTCTTGTAGGTAAAGACGCAAGGTTCTATCCAACTATTTGGCTACCAAATGGACACTTTCAGACAGCTTATGCAGCATATGCAAAATTTGATCATGTACATCATATCGAATATGACAGGTAATCCAAGTTGAAAAGATTTATAATTTATAGCTATCGCGAAAGAATAGTCGAAGCGAGATAACATAATTGTCAAATATTGCTTGATTCAGAAATTTAATCCCAACACTAGACGGGGGCCAATTTTCACTTGACTGGACACCAACTTTAGCCGAAAAACCTTTTGATGATACACCGACAATTGTCGTATTACATGGTTTAACAGGCGGTGTGTGAATTCTTTAATATATGATAAAGCTAATTAATGTTTGTAATGACGGTATGAAATTTTATTATATTTAACAGGCAGCCATGAATCGTATATCCGATGTGTTCTCGAAATTCTCACAAAACCACCTCATAATTATCGTGCAGTTGTATTTAATAATCGAGGGTGTGCGAAATCTCAATTATTATCCCCTAAACTTTATTGTGCTGCATATACTGAAGATTTAAGAATTGCATTAGAATATATCCAAAAATGTATCCCAAAAGCAAAATTATTTGCAATTGGTTTTAGCTTAGGTGCAAATATACTAGTGAAGGTATTTTTATTTAAATGTCTATACTATAGTGTGATAAAATTTTGTTTAAGCATATTAATTTAGTTTTGCTAATTTTTAAGTATCTCGGCGAGGAAGGAAAAAATACGCCATTTATTGGAGCAATTTCTGTTGGAAATCCTTTCGATATTCTTGGGTTAGTTTATAGAATTAAAAATAACAAGTTAAATAGCATAATTTTAATTTGTTAAAATTTCCTATGATAGATCGAATGTATCGATGGAAAGTAAGATTATAGGAAGAAATATTTATTCCGCGTCATTAGCCAACAACCTTAAAAATAGTTTTGCCGAACATGAACACATCCTAAAAAAACACCCAAAACTCGATCCTGCTTATATTATGTTGGTAAGTTAGTTTACTATGAAAAGTACCAAATAAATATTCTTATTAATCTTCATATTTCAAAATAGGCACGTTCAATTCGTGAATTTGACGATAGATGTACACGTGTAGTATTTGGTTACGATACAGTAAACGATTATTATCGAGATGCTAGTTCATCCCGTTTTGTAACTAAAGTTCGAATTCCATTACTTTGTCTTCAAGCTGAAGATGATCCAGTTTCAGTCCGAGAATGGGTTCCATATGATGAATGCAGGTACTTAGTAGTCTATTTTTTGATCAAGTATATACATAAAGCTTTTGATGTGGAATTAAATTTAGATCACTAACTAATGCACAATTTACATTTAAACATCCGATAAAGGTTTAATCCATATGTGATTTTAGCTACAACTTCACACGGAGGACATCTCGGTTGGTTTACTAATTTTTGGCATCCAACACGTTGGTGCATAAAACCAATAACCGAATTTTCAGTAGCTATTATTGAGGTGAATAATTCTTTCTCTAATAATTCTTTTAATATTTTGAATTTTTCTTTCTTTATTAAATGTTTTTTATTCTAGGCTGAAAACTTCACTGTTTTACCAAATGATTCTATAGAACAAATATAACAATCATCAATTTTGGAAAAACAGAATACATAATATTTATAGTATTTGATTCTGATTTTATTTATTGTGTGTTACTGAATATCTTTATATCTAGATGGTTGTAATTTCTAAACTTATTATTTGTCAATATTTTTTATTTCAATAATAAAGAACTCAAAGATATTCAAACTTGTTTCAATAAAAGAAAAAAATATTATAAAGCTTTATACTTGTAAATAAACAGATGAAAACTTGTTTTTTTATTAATGTAATTATTATTTAGTTTATATTTTTCGAGATTTAAACTTAAAAAAAAAGCAATTTTTAATTATTTTGCAAATTATATAAAAAATTCCAAAGATTTTTATATTGTTACCATTTTACCTTTCATTAATCATATCACGTTATATTCTAGCGCAGTAATATTCATTTAAACTTTTTCTTTTATTTTTACTTTTCTATATTTTCTATGTTTTTATCCAATAGCATTGATTTATATTTTTATCTAATTATTTTACATTATTATCGCATCATTTTAGTTTAGATTTCACCATCATTTAATGTACCAATCAATTCATACTATTATTACACCATTTTATATTTTAAATCTAATTGGTACTTTATTTTTATCTTTTGTTACATTAATTTAATTAGCGACACATAGATTTTACACAAACCCCTTTTTAAT